GATATTTAATCTCTCGAACAGTTTTTAAACAATTTTAAACAAATTTCTAACATTATTCTATCTCTCGAGCAATTTTTAACAACTTTTTTTTATCTCGCGAGCAATGTTTGCACAAAATTTTTTGTAAAATTTTTAACACTATTAAATCACTCGAGCAATTTTAAAAAGCCTTTTTTTACCTTTCAAGCTATTTTGGAACAATATTTGATGTCTTGTGAAATTTTTTAGCAAAATTTTAACAATTTCTAACTTTTTTATCTCTGGAGCAATTTTTGAAAAAGATTAACACCTTCTGATGATATGTAATCTCTCGAACAGTTTTTAAACAATTTTAAACAAATTTCTAACAGTATTCTATCTCTCGAGCAATTTTTAACAACTTTTTTTTATCTCGCGAGCAATGTTTGCACAACATTTTTTGTAAAATTTTTAACACTATTAAATCACTCGAGCAATTTTAAAAAGCCTTTTTTTACCTTTCAAGCTATTTTGGAACAATATTTGATGTCTTGTGAAATTTTTTAGCAAAATTTTAACAATTTCTAACTTTTTTATCTCTGGAGCAATTTTTGAAAAAGATTAACACCTTCTGATGATATTTTATCTCTCGAACAGTTTTTAAACAATTTTAAACAAATTTCTAACAGTATTCTATCTCTCGAGCAATTTTTAACAACTTTTTTTTATCTCTCGAGCAATGTTTGCACAACATTTTTTGTAAAATTTTTAACACTATTTAATCACTCGAGCAATTTTTAACAGCTCTTTTACCTTTCAAGCTATTTTTGAACAATATTTGATCTCTTGTGCAATTTTTGAGCAAAATTTTAATAATTTCTAACACTATTTTATCTCTCGAGCAATTTTTATTAACATTTTTTATCTTTCCTAATAATTTTTAAACAATGTTTTATCTCTCGAGAAATGTTTAACAGTATTTTTTAATTCTCGAGTATTTTTTTAATAAGATTTTAATAACTTATGATACTATTTTATCTCTCGAACACTTTTTAAACCTTTTTTTATCTCTTGAGCTATATTTAAACAATATTTTATCTTTCGATAAATTTATAACATTATTCTATCCGATCAATTTTTAACAACTTTTTTATCTCTTTAGCAAACTGCACAATATTTTAACTCTCGACAAATTTATAAAAATATTTTAACTCTCGATAAATATTTAACAATGTTTGTACAATATTTTATCTCTCGCGCATTTTCTAATAGTATTTTATCGTTCGAGGAATTTTTAAGCAATGTTTTATCTCTCGAGAAATTTCTAATAGTAGGTATCTCTTGAGTCAATTTTGAACAATATTTTATTTCTCAACAAATTTTTCAATAGTATTTTATCACTCGAGCAATTTTTGAACAAGGGTTTAACATTTTGTAATACTATTTTACCTCGAGCAATTTTTGAACACGATTTTAACAATTTATAATACTATTTAATCTCTCAAAAAATTATTAAATATTTTTATCTCTCATTAAATTTCTAACAGTATATTTATCCCTAGAGCAATTTTTGAACAATATTTTACCCCTCAAGCAATTTCTAATACTATTTTATACTTCGGCCAATTTTTAACACCCTTTTTTACCTCTCGAGCCATTTTTGAACAATATTTGATCTCTCGTGCCATTTTTAAACAATGTTTTATCTCTCGAGAAGTGTCTACTATTTTATCTCTGAAGTAATTTTTAAGAACTATTTTAATTTCTCTTGCAATTTTTGACCAATATATTTTACACTTCAAATGGAAACATACGCTGAAAAAAGTACTAGATTTTGTTTCTAGTGTACTAGAGTACCGGATTCTCAGAGAATGTACTAGATCTAGTACAATTGTACTAGACTGGCAACACTGCCCCTATACCATGTAATTATGGAACAAATAAATGTAAACCACTTAATTTTCAAAAGTAATGAATTTGCCATGTTTCTAGTTTCAGAGTCTCTAGTATTATCTGAAAATAAGGCATCTTAAATTTTTGTTAGATTGTATCTTAAGAACTTTAAGGGCATCTATTCTGCTTTTCCATCTAGTATCTGAAAGGGGTTTAAGTGTTAAAGTTGAGATTTCATCTTTTAAAACCTTACAACGTTTAGTCGATGCGAAGAAGAAAACATATATAGCTCATGTACAATTACAAAAATGCTTGTAATTTCTAAAGACGCTTTTGCAGCGTCATTAACGACTAAATTTAAACTATGGGCCGCACAAGGCACAGAGAAAGCTCTAGGGTTTAAGACAAGAACTTTTTTTGTAGACGATTATTGCCACCCTTCATATTCGCACCATTATGATAACCCTGTCCCCTTAAAGCCCTCAAAAAAATGTGAGTAAAAAAATCTAATAAAACATTAGTTAAACCATGTCCTGTCGAATTTAATATTGAAATTACCGCCCAGAGTTAAATCCCATTGAACTCATCTGGATTAAATTACCTGATGTGCGAAATTTATTTTTGAAAACAGTTTCAAATGTAAATGGAGAACATTGGAAAAATGCAATAATCATGTTAATTAGGTGGAAAATTTGTTTTGGAAAGTGGATATAGGAATGGAAAACTTAATAGACCTTATAATAATAAGCCTCAGAACAAACAATGATACCAGTAGTTACAGTGAAAACAGTTACTTTTAAAGATAGTTCTTGTACTATTTATGTTTTTTAATCTTTGATTTTAGGTACTGAAGTGTTAATGCAAAGAGATTAAAAAAAGTTAAATCCCTTAACAACATATAATCCTCCTTGTTATTTATTGGTTAAATTTAATTCGTTCAATGTTAAAGTGCAACAATTTTGTCAGAAGCATATTTTTTGAAAATAATGTGACGATAGTCTAATTTATTTATAGTTTATTTAAAAACACTATTTACAATTTATTTATGACGTAGTATTTAATTTATATAATACTTAGACACTAACAATTCTAATTTATTTATTACACTTTAACTTTTCATTCCAATACCCGAAACTAAACTGCATCGATGAGTCTGCTATTTATATCAAGTCCAATTCTGTGCTCGTAGTTTCTAGGCGCTCCCGAAAATTCCATCTCTATGACTCAACGGCAGTTTCTCGAAGCGTCAGCGGCATAGCTAGAAGATTCCGTCGTTTCTTGTATATTCGAGACGCGGTCTGACTGTCTTCACACGTCAGCGTTGCTTCGATCATGAATCGAGTGGCAGACTTCCAAGGTCGCGCGTACACAGGGTAGGCTTTAGGAATTTCATGACAATAATATAACTTATTCATTTAAAATTAAATCTACGAAGTGCGATATATACCATTTTATATGCCGTGACCTTATTCATATTGTTACCCTGTACCCTGCGGCTGTTATAGGAAACACACGAATAAAAAAAGTACAATGCCACAGTTGGTATTGATGAAGTCTTTGACTTTTCTTAGTTCTTCAGCTGTCAGGTGGTCATAATTTTTAACGAGCTGGCGTCAACTAAGTTGCTTGTGGCGATTTTCCCCGTGGAACGGTCTTTGCACTTGATTATGTTTTCCACTGGTGTACAGAGCCCTATTTCTTATCCTTTCTTTAGTTTGAATGGTCTCTTCGATAAACTGGCAACCCTTACTGGAATTAGTTGATCTACGTTAACGTCACATCCAGTTACCAGAATTCCGTCGCTCACTAATTCTTCACTTTCTACAATGCCCACATGCAAGCCGTGAGATTTCTTGCTAAGCATCTCCGAGACGACAGCTTCGGAATTTTGGGTACTTCTATGTCTTTTTCGACTAGGACTTTTATCCTATTCGAATTTAGGACGATTTCCTCGTTCGATGATGAACTTATTTTGCATAATGTCCACCAAAAATAAGTGTTCTATCAAGGTACGACCAATCTGTATGGTTGCTGAAATCTCGCCTAGAACAGGAGTAGTGTGTCCTGTAGCTGTTTTCAGAACTAAGCGTCTTCGAGTTGGTCATAGCTTTCGATGCAGGATCACTGTTCCAATGAAAGACACTTGGTTGAACCAATATCAAGGACGAGGGTATCTTCTTGGTGGTCGATATACCCCTTGACCAATAAATTTTGTTCTTTTGTTTAAGGTGTAAGTGAGAATTGTGGGGCCCTCTGTTACAGCCGACGCTTGCTCCGTAGTGTCGACCTAAATTCGTACGTTTCCTATAACAGCCACAGGCTACTACAAGGTGCACGTCCTCTGGAATTACATTCTGACCAAGGACGAAATTTTTAATCCGAATTGTGGCAAGAATTGATAAAATTGTTAAGTATCAGGAAAACACGCACTATGCCTCTACACCCACAGTACGTCGAAATGGTAGAAAGACACCATAGAAGCATATGCCGGTATCTTTCAGTGTTCGTCTCTGAGAACCAGAAGGACTGGGACTTTTTAATTTCACAATTTCTGCTAGCCTGAACATGAATCGACCAGTTATACTCTATCTTTGATGATTACTGGTAGGGAGATGAGGCTTCCCTATGATCTTCTTTTTGGAAGGCAGCCTCCTGGTTAAGAAGAAGGCCGTACACCTCCCACGTACATACAGAACTAGAAAGACTAGGAATGCTCTACGGATTCGCTCGGGAACGTTTGAAAGTCAGCAACGATAAAGCAAAAGCTAGAATCGGCATGCATGCCACAGAAATGTCATTCCAAGTCAAGAAAATTCTGAACAGTTCTAGAAGGTTCAAGCAAGCTATATAAGTTGATGATCCTGACGAGAGTTTTAGTTTTATGATATATGTTATACGTTCATGTTATAAATTATATAGTTTAATTGTAAAAGTTGAGTTGAATTTAATTGAATTACCAAAAACCAGCGTAACAATATTATAGAAACTTATTTTGCCTATGGAATGTGACGTTATCTCCCCACTTTTACTGCACTCCTCTTTTATTTGGACTATAAGTCCTGTAAGTAAATGATAAAGAGCAAATATTATTATTGTATGTATGCAAATCTCACTTATATATCTTGATTATTTTCATTTCTATTTTATAGGTACTGGGGTACACCAATTCCAATTATACACTGCACTAAATGCGGATCTCAGCCAGTATCCACGAAAGACTTACCTGTAATCCTTCCAGATTTAAAAAAAGAAAGCAAAAAAGTCGGTTCGCAACTAGCGGAACTGTCAGAATGGATAAATACCAAGTGCCCAAAATGCGGTGGTGAAGCAAAGCGAGAAACTGACACAATGGACACTTTTGTTGATAGCTCCTGGTATTTTCTAAGATTTGCAGATCCTCACAACAATAAAGAAATATTTGACACCGGAAAAGTTAATAAAGTAGCTCCGGTTGATTTATATATTGGTGGTAAAGAACATGCTGTACTTCATATGTACTATGCCAGATTTATAATGCATTTTCTTCATTCTTTGGGTTTGGTGCCAGAAAGAGAACCGTTTAAAAGATTGCTGGTGCAGGGTATGGTAATGGGCAGAAGTTATAGAGTAAAAGGAAGTGGACAGTACTTATCAGAGAAAGATGTTAAAATAATTGGTAAACAAAATATTTTCAGAGTGTAAAAAAATATTACTTAGCTATTTTTTGCTGGAATTTTTTTTATTTGACTAATAATTTATAGATTTAAAGAAAAATAAGGCTGTTACAAAAGATACAGGGGAACCTGTTGTCATTAGTTGGGAGAAAATGAGTAAATCTAAATATAATGGTGTAGATCCGGAGGATATGTTTAAGGAATATGGTACTGATACCACTAGGCTACTAATTTTAGCTGATGTTGCCCCAACTAGCCATAGAAATTGGAATAATAACAGTAAGTAAATCACTAAATTGTATGAAACCTTCTTTGAACATCAAAGATCACTTATAATGGTGGCTGTTTAACTTAACAGGGACTTTAAAAAAAGAACAGTCTAGAAATAAATCATCAGTCAACTAATAAATCTCCCTACCTATGTGTCTAAATGAGAAAATGCATAGAATTATCGTCTGTGCGTGCGTATGTATGCCGCCGACATAATAAATATAACAAAAGCTCTGATCAACATTATTGTAGGAATAAAAATAGAAATAAACAAAACACTAAACACCTGGTTCATACAAGATACAATTACCTAGTCTGCTAAATTTCTATGTGCCTTAGTCACTTTAGTTTAAACATAATATTGGCATCTTACAATTTTGTTCATTACCAAAAGTGAATGTATTTGAACTATTGAAAATACTTTTATTTTCAGCTTTTCCTGGAATACTAAATTGGCAAAAGCGATTGTGGCTGACGATTCGCGACTTCCTAAAGAATAGACACAATCTCCCCCCGAAAATACCTGATGACCAATTTAAAACTCATGACGATTACATGTTTGATTCAAGAAATTATTATGCAGTTGGGACATCTTACAACTATTTGATAACACAACAAATTAGTGTTGCTCTTTCAAAACAACAAGGACTGACTAACAGTCTTAGGGTAAGTAGGTGAAACAGGATTGAGAAATAGTTGTTTACCTATAGGTTAAATTCAATTTTTCAAAAAAATTAAAATTCGGAATAAACATTTTTTTTTCAAAAATGAAAATTTTTTCCAAACGAAAATTATTTTGAATTCTTTTCCCAGAATTTCCAAAAAAACAAAATTCTAAAATCTTTAAATTACAGAAATCGTTATCCTTTATTTACTAATAAATTATTATATTTTTTGTATGAGAAAAATAAAGTTATATTTAATTTAATACGTGGACTTTAATTGTCATATGCATGGGTTTCTACTGTAACTTGGCCTGCTTTTTCAAATTCGGCGTTATTATAGAGAATAATATAAGAAGCAACTGAAGAATATTTTTCTCCAAAGGTAAATAACATACAGGGTGTTTCTGAACTTGGCGTCCAAATTTGTAGGGGTGGTAGTTCGCATAATTTGAGAGCGATTGGCAGATTTCATTTTTCTAAAAAAATTATAATAAACAAAATAGAGCCATAATAAAAAAATCAAAGAGCGGGTCCTACCCTGAGCCCGTAGCGCAATAGTCGCCTGATCGGTTACTCATCGGGATTTACAACCGTAGCACGCGCGAGTCGAGGCGAACCCATCGCTGTGCAGGACCGTACCGGTTTAAAAATTTTAATTATTTTTATTTTAAATATTTTGAAAAAATTAAATCTGCGAATCGGTCTCAAATTAGGCGAACTACCACCCCTACAAATTTGGACGCCAAGTTCGGAAACACCCTGTATATTCTATAAAATATAAAAATGACTCCTCATAAGGTACCCCCCAGATGTTCCGACTCTGCCCAAAATTTCACCGAAGGCCGGAATAAAGCTCAAGTTTAAAATTTGGTGTTTTTCTATTATTCTTTTATTCAGATTTTTATCAGAATCGATAGGCTTCTTCCTCTTAAAAAGCTTAAATTTACCTAAGATGTCAATTTGATATCATTTTTTATTTCTTTTAGGATTTTTTCAATATTTAAACCCACTTTTATTCAGAGTTTTTCAAAATCAATAGGCTTCATTACTTTGTAGAGCTTGATTTTATTAAAAATTCATGTTGATTACTTTTAATTTTTGATTTATGATTTTTTTTATTTCACTCCCCCTTAAACACCCCATTTTTAATCAGATTTTTTCAAAACCAAAGGGCTTTTCCCCCTTATACAGCTTAATTTTTATAAGAATTTCAAGTTGATATCTTTTATCGTTGTTGAGTTTTTTTTTAATATTTCAATACCTCATTCTAATTCAGATTTTTTCAGAATCAATAGGCTTCATCTTCTTATAGAGCTTGATTTTTACTAAAAATTTCATGTTGTTATCGCTTCCGACAGTTGGGCCAAAGTCACTTAGCCATCAAATCCAGTTAATAGAGGCCTCCATTTTCCGTTTAATATTTAGAAATAAATATATTGGCAATTATTGACCTATTGATGGCAAGTTACCGGGAAATTGTAGACCTTTTACCATATTAATACTGACTACTGAACAAAGGCAATATGACAGGCACATGAACAGACAGGCGATTCGAGAGTGCCTCTTTGACCAGAAGTACCGGATGAGCTATAAATTATGTACTAAAACAGAAGGTTTTCCAATAGATATATAATATAATAAAGAAATGATAATGTTGCAAAATTCCCACCAAAAATCCATCCAACCAAAGCAAAACTTCCTCCTATACCCCACAATTTTTCACAAATTCCCCCTATTTCCCCACAATTTTTCCCACATTTCCTCACTATTTTCCCTAAAAATTCCCTCTCTATTTTTCCTAAAACTTCCCCTCTATTTTTCCTAAAAATTCCTCCCACAATTAATTTTCCACATTTTCCTAAATTTTCCATAAATCCCTTTAATTTTTCCACAAAATTTCCATCAGTTTTCTCTCATTTCTCCCCCAATTTTCCCCCAATTTCTCTTATTTCCCACAGAATTTTCACAATTCCCCACATATATACAAAAAGTATATTCATAAAATATTCTAAAATTCTAAACTAACATGTAAAAGTAAGAAATTACAATGTATACTGAATAGTAAATACCATACTGGCCATAGTACATGTCCACTCGTTGAGTGTATAGCAAGCGATAATTGGTGTATCATCTGTACTCGCTGGACGGAGCACTCCTGGACAGTTGGGGTTGTGTCTGCGGCAGTTAAAACTCTATTTACTTTTTCCATGCTTTTACCCAATACAGTTACTTACCTTTTGTAAGGCCATTATCAACCAACATAATGCTGGGCGCTGTCGAAAGGCCAAAGGTAGGCTTTTTTATCTTTTAATCGTCGCATTCATTTTCCCTTCAATTACAGCAATATTCCGGCAATTCATTGTTTGTTGGGAGTGGGTTTACACTACTTAAAGACAACTATTTTAAAATCCGGTTGCTCGTGCAAAATCCGCCCGGACACAACCGAACGTAGTAAAAACCCGGACATGTCCGTGTAAATCCGGATGTCTGGTAACCCTACATTTTAAAGTAACTACCTACATTATTTTTGATTTTTCCTGGTTCAAATACATATTTAATTAGATAAGTCAGATGACACAGCTGTGATAGCACAGATGGTACAGTGTCTCCATTTGTCAACTTGGCATTTCGTGACCATTATGTGACGCTGGTTCAATTCCCGATGAATGATCTTTTTTTTGTTTTTTTTTGTTTTGAAAAAATTTTAAAATAACGACTATTTATTTAAAATACATGTTATTTATCATAATATAACTACTTTAATATTTTGTACTATTTAAAGTACTTTTCAGAAAAAAATTGTGAGTAGAGAAGTAACCAATAATAATAAAAAAAGTTTTTGTTCACGATTGTTAAACTTATTTGTTAAAAAAAATAAACTAATAAAAAAACGTTAAGGTATTCTAATTTTTTTTGTAGCTAATATTATCTTTATCATCCTATGACATTGTTTTTAAATGAAATCACAATATTTTTAATTTTGACAAAACACTATCTATAAAACGCTTTAAAAATTATTCAATAAGGCATATAAAAAAACAAATCTAAAACCAGATAAATCTTGATGGAACCTTTATAGCCAGATTTCCTTGTTTTACATTTTTTTGATAAAATTATTTTGTGGTCGTAGGAAAAAAATTGTGTGCAAGTGATTTTTCACACTCCCGTGATTGTCGCACTCGTGTGAAAAATATCACTTTCCACACTCTTAATGTAATATACTATTAAAACAAAATCCGGTTGTTCTATTTTGCTTTTAAAGCTAGTAAAAATAACAACGGTGTAATTACCTTTATCTAAAATCTGTTTCCATTTTGTTATCGGCAACAACTGTAATGCACTTTCACGATAACATTTTTCCTAAAACTCGATGGCTATAGCATTAAAATGTTTTTCATAAATTCTGCTATATATTTACGTCTTATATTTTTTACTATTTTGTGTATGGTATTATCTAAAATTTAACTTTATTTTGCTATATTTTTTAGAAAGTTCCAGCTGCTGTTATAGGACACAGTAAACAGTTTGAGAGAGCGCTGGCTACTCAAATAATTATGTTGGCACCTATGGCTCCACATTTTGCATCTGAATTGTGGAGCGGTTTCATTTCAGCTCCTAATCGATTAAATGACTCCACAGAAATAAGTTGGGATAAATCTGTCTTTGATCAAAAGTGGCCTGAAAGTGATATGGACTATAAGCTCGATTTAGTTTGTCAAGTAAGTTAAACAGTTTCCAATTTTTTTTTTTTAAATGTGAGTCGAGTGTGATTTTTTATTAATTTATACAGAGATTTCATTCTCCCAACTTAACAGGTAAATGGTCATGAGAATGCAGTCGTCAAAATGTCTAGGATAGACTTAGAAAAACTTCCAAAGGAAGAAGCATTTCAATTAGCCTTGCAACAAAAAGAAGTACAAAGTACTTTGACTACAAGAAACGTATTGGACAGTAACTTTATTGTACACAAGGGTTTTGAAGGAATCATAAATATTATTACTGATCAACCTCCTCCTAAGATTAAAAGTCAAGACGTTGAAGAGATGCAGAGTAGGTAGTTGAAAAGTTGGTCATTTTGGTGACATGTCAAATGTAAGTTTTGTTTTAAAAACTAGAATCCCTTTTTAGAATTTGTATACTTGTTATTGTACTTTATTGTTCTGAAATAAATAAGTATATTTTATTTATTTCTGTATTTATTAAAACCTCTTATAATATTCTAAAGTTATTATTTACCAAGTAAAATGCCGTACTTTCTGTATTAAGCCACTACATTCAATAAGTGTCGCATTAATATAAACAAAATTAATACAAATAATAGATTAAATACATACCTTTTTCACGACATAAAAAACAATCGGTAGGCCCACTCTCCGCTGATCGCATACAAATATTATACTAAGAAAATTTGACCTTGACGACGCCATTCGGGGGTCTTAGTCAGGGTCGGATTAAAGGGTATTTAAAGATTTTGTAATAAAATAAGGTATTGATAGGCAGGATCGTATTAAAACAAAAAGCTTCACAGATTGCGCCAAATAATTAGCTTGTTTTTATTGATGGTCTTAAAATGTCTATTAAGTGAAATATATGAGCAGCCTTAAATATAACTTAGGACCGATTCCACCGTTGTGGTAAACGAAGTTTAATATTACATTTTTACATTAACAATGTCATTTTAATCTCCGTTTAACACAACGGTGGAATCGACCCTTAATAACATATATTTATGGAAATCGGGGACAAGGAGCGTCAAATGTTATCTCGGAATTAATTAAATCTAAAAAAAATTACAAACGCCGGATTTAGTGATAAATAATTCAAAATTGTGATGAAAAATTATTTCAATTTTTGTTATTAAACATACAAAACTATTATTTGACATTTTTAAATTGCCAAAAATATCTTTATTTGCTTTTTTTGTATGCTTTATAATAACAATACATGGAGCTTATATCCAAGTCTTCGTGTGTTAAGGCATATTGTGTACATACATCGCAACGTTGAATTTTAAGACATTTTTTTTTATTAAAAATCCACATATATAAAATTTTCTTAAAAAATATTAAAATTTTGTGCATGCAATTCATTAATATGCTTGTTTATATTTACATTTTCGACAATATTGCCACCATTACACGCGATTTTGGAAAATGGCTCATCCTTACTAGTCCTACGAATTTCATGTAGCCTTACAAGTAAAGCATCCCCACCTGTTTCGCAGTTTTTAGTTCCAGAATGTAATAAATTTAAACATTGCAATTTTTTGAACGTCCTCTGAATTTGGACCGTTGTAGGGTTTACACAGTTACCATCATGGAGGAAGGATAATTAAAGAGTTGCAGATTCCTCACAGAAATTTGGCAGCATGTTTACCTTCAGCGACATATGGAATAGTTATGTGCAGTTAATACTCAGTCGGTAATATAGAAAGATGTAATGCTATTTTAGCTTGAAAATTGGCGGGCTTTTGAATTTACTTCGACAAAATATAAGAATTTTACATTTTTAATAGCACTGCTTAAAACACATGATTTTGATTGTGACTCATTACTAATTTACTACTTATAATTTCTTTAATGGCTAATTAAGATTTTCTTGCTTTTTGTAATGAAAATACTTTAGATTTATCAAGATTATAAAGCTTTGTTATTCGCATATCTAGAATAATTATCAAAATGAATATCAGAATTAAATTTTTGTTAAGCATTTCAATATTTGGGAATAACACAATTACGATTAATATTAATTTTTTTTCAGAAGAAAAAATTATTCCATACAAAAAATTCTGCTTGTTGAAGAAAATTACAAGAAAAAGTTTCCTTTTAAAGTTATGAAGGAAAACCGAAAGGAAAACTGTGACTTTTCTTCGTAAAATCAATAAGGTAATACAGATTTTTTCCTTTGGTCAATTTTAAGTTTCTTCATTTATTAAGACCATGTACACCTGACCTAACATATTAATATAGTAAACCTATTTTTTCGTCAAACAGAATTTTTTTATAATGACTTTTTCCTTAAAATAAAAATAAAGATTTTCCATTTTGTCAACTCCATACGGGAGATGTTTAAAATATAACATTTTACTTTAAATCTTAATAATATACCTACATAAGTAAATATAAATTGACGCTAAACTTTACGTGACGTTAACTAGGCACCTACCTACATCTTACTAATAGCTTTATAACTGACAAACTGACTCATAAACTAGGATTTTTTTATAAGTATACCATACATACCTAATAAGATCTTTAAGAAACCGAAAAAAATCTTTTAATACAGTTTGTTCATATAGTTTTTTGCTGCACAACTTTGCCCAGACATAGTAAAACACTTAAAAGTTAACAAATTAACACTGGAAAACAACTACTATATAAAAAATGTCAAAAAATATCTATAGTTCTAAAAAAATAACAATAACTACATAATACAAACACAAACAAAATAAATTTAAGATACACGCTACTGATTCCGTGCTACTGCAACTAGCTTGTTTTTGTCGATATAAACGACGACAGTGACGCCACTGGCTTGATTGAGAGGTTGGACTCCAAAATGGCGGTGTGCGCGTAGATGTGCGCGTAGCGTTGCCGTCAAGACAAGTTAGCCTGCCGATTGTTTATTATGCCGTGCCTTTTTTAAATTTGGCACATGTTATATAGACTTGCATTTCATCATCTAGTAATAGTAAATACTTAAATTGGGAAAGTGCTAAGTATGACACGTCATTGAAAAGATAATTTTAAGTAGAATTCGGCAATATAACTATTCATTGGATTACTTTTTGTTTTAAAGCTTGATAGCAGCATACAAATAACTGTTACCTATTGTTAAGTTTGTCACTTCATTTGAAAGCTAATTATATTCGATATTTAATGCGTACTTAACTTTTTTATTGCTAAATTATTAATGTCATTTTGTGTAGTTCGTTGTGATTTGTTTAATATATATTATAAAAACCTTTCATCAATGTTAATGTGCCGACTTTTCTTAATGATTATGTCCTTGTTATAGTAAAAACACATTTTTAGAAGTTTTCTGGATATCTGCTTTAAATTATCGTATAATTGAATTGACTAATTGTGTGTTTAATTAAAGGTGTATCTCTTTTTTGTTAAAACAGTCCTTGTATTGTTCTCTACTTTTTAGATAATTAGAGAAAACTGTAGGACATCTTAAAATATCCTATTTCACCAACAAAAATGTAGAATAATGAATCTCATATCAAACGAAAAAAGTAATTTTAGGATGTCCTACTAGGTATTAACTTAAAAACTAAATAAAATGTATATTGCAACTATGCTCAAATAAATGAATGTTTTTATACCTGATAGTACTAGACAGATATTTTTTTTAGATCATAATGATCTGGATAACTCAAAATAGTCAAAATCCACTTTATTTAAGTTGTTCTAGTATTGTTTTAGCATAGCGATATAAACTCCAATAATAAATATTCAATGTTTTTTGGGATGTTTTTTATGTTAAATTAAAAAAAACATGAATAATGTGATATTCTTGTTTAGTTTGTTACTACAGAATATAGTTCATTAGGTAGTCATTTAGAAGAAAATTACGTTCTATTTATAGAATAAAAAATCACTCATAATATCCAAATAATCATACCTATATCTTTATGTTTTGGACACGAAGACTAACTATTTTGTTTTTGGCTCTGAATAGTCTTCTTAAGAATTCTAAAACCTTCCTTAGTTCTTTTGGGATATTCTTTGAGGTTCATTTTGTTTAAACCTAAAATAAATTAAGTACAAAATATGAAAAATTAAACAATACACAAAATTAGTCTATTAAAATAGTTAAAAAAAAGTGTCAACAAAAAAATGGCTGCCTTTTTCCTTAAACATTTCTTTTTAAAAGAAATTAAGTTTCTCTACTTCGCTTGCTGTTTTAGTATTTTAGTAGCAGATGAATATGGTGTGGAAGTAGTGACAGTATTGATTATTGTACTTCCTCTCGTCGAAATTTACTGAAATTGCATTTTTCTTTAATATTTTTCTCCCCTGAGGTCTTAATAAAAATATTCATTAGCATAAAAAGTTATTCAGGTGATCACTTGTTGAATTCCTAAATTTTGGAACCATGTATTTCTTCTTATCATATCAAGATAAGGAAATCTAAAAAAAAATGACAATAAACTTTACAATAATAATAATAATCAGTGATTAACCTTTACTATAATCATTATGAGACGGATGAAGACGAACTTAGCTGCGGTTTACTTGCTCTTAATTTTACTTTACAGCCATCTTTTTCGAACTGTTTTTTGTAAAAAAGCATGTTAAAATGCCTACGTGAAAAAATTATAATTGATAAATATTAAGTATATTCATTTAAAAAAGGAAGAAGAAAATAAATTAATAAGTCTCTTAATTGAAAAATACATTTTTGTAATGATTTATAGTTATGTTATCTGTACGGAAAGGAACAACGAAACGGTGTTGTTATGGAGTATGTTAAAGTGGCACATGGTATAAATCATTCAAAGGTAATACATATTATTTTTTATAAATTTTCCAAAGCCTTACTTGCAATATCGAAAAAAAAAATAATCAAATCAAAATGGGCGAGAAAATGTGGTCGAAGTGACAAAGGTTTTTGATCGATTGATGATTTTACTATTTGTTCACATTTTCATGGAGAAAGTGGTTCAACAGAAGAAAATTCTTATCTGGTATTACACAATATTTTTTTAATATTAAATACTACTTCAATAGACACAATAATATTGTTAAAACTGTCATGTGGATCCTCAAAGTATGAAATAATTTATTTTATTAATTATACTCGTGATTAACTTTCATGTGAATTAGTGTTTTTTGCAAGTACTAATAGTTGGTTGGCATATTTAATTAAAATAGAGTTATAATTATTATGTTTTAAATTTTTTACACAGTAAACAAGTATTGATATCTATCCTCTCAATCGCACACTTTTTTCCCTTTTTGCAAATGTCCCTGACACTTCAAGTACCTTTTAAATTGCTCACAACTATGAGCTTCAACATAGTTATAAAGAAAATGAATCACCATCAACGATTTTTTCTAATGTTTGATTTGTCTGTAGAGATAATATATCTTTTCCAGCCATTATTGATCAAAACAGTACGAAACTTTTGAATTACCGCTATTTCAACATGGCAGCTGCGCTTGCGTTCATCACA